AAAGCAAAACGACTGGAGTTGCATTGTCTTCTTATACGCGTGCAACTCTTCCAGTGGGTCCAATGGTGCAATATTTCTCCTCGAAAAGCAGCACATACCTGCGAGTTAACGAGACGAAGGTAATATTTAATACTGTCATCGTCCCACTATATATTTTATACCAATTTCAAATATATGTGTTTTCATAATATCCTCGTTATAATAATAACAATAACCCTGATTATTTATAGGCTTAAGAAGATTATTGTTATTTTATCAATTCAAAAGTATATCAAGCTAAGTACTGTTTTTATTATATTAAAAATCAATTCATAGATGTATACTTTTAAATTTAGTTGATTTGTGGAGCCTCTTCAAAAGGCAAATATTATAGCTAACTATTAGAGTATTACATTAGATTATTAAAAAAAAACTATAAGGTATATATCTTGATAGCTTAACTAGTTATTTTGTATGCTCTAAAGGCTATAACTCCAATTTTTTTCTTTATTCAATTGATTTAAAGCTAGGGTGTGATTTTTATCTGTCAAATTGATATTGCGCTTCTCTATTTTGTTTATATCATCGATCTCATTAATATAGTTAATTTCATCTAAATTATTTTATGCTTTGGAATGTTAGAGTAATAATTTGTAATTCGTCTATGTTTTTAAACATTAAAAATGAATTGACATTAATATTTTTCTGATCAAATTTAAACTTGTATAGCGGGGTAATTTTTACATTTATTTCAAAATCTCATTGTAAAACGTAACATTTAGGGTTTCTTACAAGAATATTACTAAAATAAAACTTACTTACATAAATATGACTACTCATTACTACAACATAGTGTTGTGGTAACTTAAGTTCAAAACTTGAATATGAATTACTATGATTTCATTACGACTCTAGTAACTAGTCATATTCTTATAAATCATCTTTATTTTGGTCATATTTATGTAATTATTTCAAACATGGATCATGCATGCATCATCATATCTTTAATTTAATAGACTAAGACTAGACTAGCATATCAACTAGATTTAAACAAATTTGGAACTTAGTTTCTTTTGAATTATTTCAAATTATTTATGTCTATATTTTTCATATAAAAAGGTAAAAATTGAGAAAACATATTTAGATTCTCCCATAGAAAAAATATTTAGATCATTTTACAAAACATCTACGGGGTGTTTATGACTAATAAAAAGTAGTTACATACTTATAAGTATCAAAAAATGATAAAAATATTATTTCTACACTTTTGGATATTTTTTTAATTCACTTTTGGAAGATAACAAATGGCAGGGGTTTTATTCTTCCAAAAATGTAAATAACCTTTGTTTAATTCATTCTAATTTCTATCCAACAAGTCACCCATATTCCTTGAAAAAAACTTACTCGGTCAAGTATTGTTGAGGATGAAGATAAAAAATATGTTTGGGGGTAAGTATAGCTGTATAGTTGTACGTGGTTGAAGATTGGTTGATTAATTGTGAACATGCATGTGATTGAAGATTTGTTGATGATTTTAGGGTGATAAATGACGCTGGAAGATGAGACGCCTAAACAAGGTAGCATTGCAGAAAAGAGGAAGCTTCATGGAGAACAAAGAAATGTGAAAATTCGGATATGATTTTACCCGGAGATCATAAGAGATCAAATAAACCAAGTGAACTTGGGAAAATCAGATTATGTCTTAGATCCAACCATCTCACTTCTCCTATAAAAACACATCTTTCCTTCCTATTTTAGATACCAATTAATCTCCACTTTCATATACACTTTAATTATTCTTGTAATTTAGGTAGTCTTTTGAGATTATTTTTGCTACTTTGAAACTTAATGAATTGTAAGTTGTGAGTTATTTTCTTTAATCTTCTGTCTTGAATATTAATTGAATCTATCTCTATATTAATGTTGGGGAGTGTTGCTAAGATGAAAATTAGTTAACATCTTGACATTAGTTATAGTAGAATTTATTTTCTTTAATATTCTTCCTTGAATATTAATTAATTCATATTCATATTTCATATTAATATTTTGAATATTACTTAAAGGATCAACTAGTTTTGTTTCATATATTAATTATTACTAGAATCGATCGATGAATACGCTTGTTAATCGTTCGATCGTTTCACGGTAGTAAACTTGTGTTATTAATGCATGTGTCTCATGGTTAATAACTTAAGGGGGATTAATTATGTTGATTAAACCAATAAACCGCTTGTGTTGAGGTTATCAATCTTAATTGATTTCATCAGATGACAAATGAATAAATTAGATAGAATAATTGGACTTGAGATTCTCGTTGTGACAGTCGAGAATACTCACCTCGGGTTACAAGTTATCGTTCTTATTTATTTCATTAAATCGACCGAATGCTACTATTAAGATCAACATATGGTGTTTGTTCTATATTGATTAATTAATAGTAAGAGTTATTAATGAACGTGTCTCGTTATTAATAGCTATTCCAGATGAATTGGAATTTCTCCGCAATTAAATATTTAAGAGGAATAATTAAAGTAGTGACAATGACCACTGAGCACTTCACTATGTGGAAATTAGAAAAACCAAGACTAATTACCTTTGATATTTTATTTCACCCATTTAAGTATTTTATTTGCTTTCTCCATTATCAAAATATCCAACCCCCCTCCGTTTATTTTTACTTATTACACTTACACATACGCGAAAAACTCTTTTCCATGTGGATATGAACTCTATTACGCTATACTACGGCATTAGTTCTAAGTAGTGAATTTAATTTGAGGCACACTACGACAAAGTGCCCGTCACCCTTGCTATGCAACTGTGATGTGTTGAATTTAAGTTAAATACCATCACATTTCGTAGTCACTTGAAATAGTTCAATAAATCCCAACTTCATCTCGTGCAACATATGAGTTAAATTATACCAAGTACTCATAACGCAATGGTTCTAGCTTTCCTCAGTCTATCATAACTCAGATGCACTATTATGATTGAAAGAATAATAATAATGCAAAACAGAATGCACCAAGCAGACACGATGATTATGATGTTTCACGTCCAGGAAAACGCCTCGGATCATTAGATAGGAATCCAACGATAAATAGTGAAACAAAAAAAACTACTTTGTTGATTTCCTATCATGTTGTAACAACATATTTTCCTTGTTTACTTTCAAGGAATCAGTTAACAAAATAAAATAGGGAAAATGGAAACTAATAATTCCACCTTTTAGCGATCTTCTTACAATAATCCAACCTTTTGGTTATTCATGAATAATCCAACCTTTGCACCTCATCTTCATTCACTGGTCCCTGACTGATTGATGACCTGCTATTCCAGGCTATTTTCTTATCTTTGCAAATCATTATACCATAAATCTCATCTTTCACAAAGATAATATTTTGCAAAGATAAGAAAATAACTTGGAATAATAGGTCATTAACCGATCCCGGACCAGTGAATGAAGATGAGGTGCAAAGGTTGGATTATTCACGAATAATCAAAAGGTGGGATTATTGAAAGAAGACCGCTAAAAGGTCGGATTATTAGTTTCCATTTTTCCAATAAAATAATGGAGTTTTTATGAAATCCAATATTCTTCAAATTTTCTATTTCAGGGTCGAAAGAAATTTTAACCCTGGGGACTTTCTTTCACTCAAAGTTCAAATACTTGTTTCCTTGTGGATGGCTTTTGCAAGCCACTTTTCACAAATCCAAATTAACAAAGATTCCTTTACATAAGGATAATACTTGTTTTTATGTTGAAACTTTGAACCTTTAATTAATGAGAACCTTCCCAAGTCCCAACATACATTCCAATGATTCATTTTTTTGTCACTACTTGATGAAAAGATTGTTTTGTTTTGTGATTTTAAATGAGAGAAGTGCTAGCAATATGATTAAAGAGTGGTAGTAATTTTTAAAATATGACTAACTAGTTTTTTTATTGGTGATGTCTTGCATGTATAATATTATTTTGGTAGATTCTATGGTACCCTTAAGGTACCATACCTTTGTCCACATGGACCAATAGGAATGATGCAGTTGAATTAATTAATTCTAAATTAAAAGGAATAGAATGATTTGGACCAATCAAATGCATGATAGGTACGGTACCTCAATTTTTAAAAGGGTACCGGAGTTGTCACCTATTATTTTGATGTTATTCTCTCTCCCTTCAATTTAATCATTACTCGTACAAACATATAATATGACATTTGAGGTATGGATTTTAGATTGATTAGTGAAACACTTACTCATTTTAGGAACACTTCATGGAATATCACCAAACTCATAGAAATCCTTCCTAATATAACCTTGTGGCCTGTACATGAAGTTTGTGAAGCACTGCCCTCTACTTGTTACACATTTATATTATGTTTGTGAATGTTCTCATGCTAATTTATATTGTGTATGTATAAAAAGAAAAATGGCTATTGAAGTTAGGGGCGGTAAACAAAATGGGTACAAAGAATTATAGGTTGGACTGAATATTATATTTTAGCTTTATAAGCTAACCGCAACCCCAAAATGGGTACAAAGGATTATAGGTTGGGCTGAATATTATATTTTAGCTTTATAAGCTAACCGCAACCCTAAATTTGACATTTTCACTCCGAATATGCTCCAACAGTCCAACCCAAACAAAAATGGTACTCCCACCGTCCCTTAAAACTTTGACAAATTTCCTTTTTTGGATGTCCCACTAACTTTGTCATTCTCTTTTTTAAGTAATTATCTAAAGTAATTTAGTGTGCTCTAACCTTATTTTTTCAATGGAAATAATGAAAATTTTATATTTTTTGAATGGAAATAATAATGAAATAAGTAATTTAGTGTGCTCTAACTTTATTTTTTTTCTTATGTTTATATATTGGGAGTTTCTTCTTATACCCACTATTTTACCCATCATGTCTTCATACACATATTTTTGTTTATGATTGAGATTCATAGATAAAAGAAAACTCCTCACAAATATGATGAGTACAAAAATTGTTTTTTTTTTTAATATTAGGATGCTCGAAATAGAAAACTACGTGCCTGGGTCAGTTTGACACCGACCAAGTATCACGTTATCACCTAACTCCATTCAGCGCAACTACTTACCGGTCATCGGTTTGACACTGATCCGGTATCACCTAACTCCATTTCCCCGTCAATCGGAATCTCTTTTCCGACATAACCATGGCTGTAAATATTCTCCGCACTTCTCTGTCACCAAACGCTAAGCTTATTCCGAATTTCCACTGCTCTAATGTAAGGACTTCCCGGTTAAATCCTATCAGCCTTAAACGAAGCCGCAGCTACCCTCGTTTGCCCCGTAATGGCGTCTTCGCCAAGGCAATCGAGCTCGATCTCGGCCCTACGGAACAGGGGAAGCGGGAAGATTTGACCTTGCTTCTGGACGTCACCGGGATGATGTGTGGCGCGTGCGTCTCACGAGTCAAATCGATCCTTTCCGCCGACGACAGAGTCGAGTCCGCCGTAGTTAACATGCTGACCGAGACGGCAGCGGTGAAGCTGAAACCGGCTGCTGGTATTGCTTCCGTGGCGGAGGGATACGCCGCTGAGGAGCTAGCTAAGAGGCTGACGGAATGTGGTTTCCCGTCGAAGAAGAGAGCGTCCAGGCTTGGGATTGAAGTTAAGGTGAAGAATTGGAAGGAGATGGTGGCGAAGAAGGAAGCTTTACTGGTGGAGAGTCGGAATCGGGTGGCTTTTGCCTGGACGCTGGTAGCTCTGTGTTGTGGAACTCACGGGTCCCATATACTGCACTCTCTAGGCTTCCACGTCGGCCATGGTAACGCATTTTACTCTTTGCTTGGCTTCGGCTACCTTACAAATCAAAGAACACATTATTTCTCTTTCGGCATCAATTAATTGAAAAATGTCTTTTTTAGGACCTTTCATGGAACTACTGCACAATTCGTATCTGAAAGGTGCATTGGCTTTAGGTGCCCTGTTGGGGCCGGGAAGAGGTCAGTAATACCTTTCAAGGTTTCGATTTTATTCCTTTCTGCCTTATACTCTTAATTTCTTACACTGCAAGTATACACCCTCTCTATATTTTATATGCCAAGCTAATTTTGAATTTATCAGCTGGACCCCTTTGGAGTTAAAATTCTCAAAAGAGAGTGAGCATTATCTCTGAGGGTGAAATGTGTGGTTTAAATATTGAAACGTTTTAAATTTTGTTATTATGTATTGTGCTATTCACTAAGAAATATAATCCTGATATGTAATTTTTATTTAAAAAAGTCTAGAAATATTTAATTGTTGATTCCCCTGTAATATAGTCTCAACTCTCAAATAATAAAATATACGGAGTATATATCTAAGTTATACTCTTATTAAGGCTCTTAGGATGTTTTTACTTGGACTGTAATTTGCTGGTCTGGTCTGAACTGGTCTGGTCTGGTCTGGTAAGGTCTGGTTTCTTTGTATTTTTATAACTATCCAGGTCTGGTCTGAACTGGTCTGGTCTGGACTGGTCTGGGACAAATTACAGTCCAAGTAAAAACATCCTTACTGAATAGTATGGGTTGTGTTATGTTTTTTTACTGTAGTATCATAGTTTATTACAGAAAGTTTGTTTCTTTTTTTTAAAGGTTTTTGTCCCATTTGTATGTCTACCATCAGACCCTTGGTGCTTACTCTTAACCATTCATGGGTCTAAACTTTACAAAAGTAATGCTGTCTGCCCATTCCATTATGTTGGGATAGAATCGGAGTGATAAATATTATGTGTAACACTCCACAGCCACATTTAAACTAATTAACTAATTGCATCCTGCATTTTTATACAAACATGTTAGGCGATCCTCCATAAAGATGATGATGCATCTATTTCCCATGTTGCCATGTTGGTTTTATATGCAAAGTTATGCCGTTGACTAGTGTTAATATTTACAAACTGAAGTTGGCAAATGGACTGGAGAAGCTGTTTACTGAAGTAGCGAACACAAATTGAAATGAAGTAGTTTTCAATTTTCTGTATGTATGTGTGTACTTAAAAGTAGATAGTACATTAAGATTACATCCAAGATTTACCTATAAGACTATGTGGGTGCTTTTATGAAATTAGGGTTAAGGAAATAGATAAAAAGGGGAAAACACCCTTACAATCATTACATGGAGTACATAACAAGGATATGATAATCATAAGGAAATTTCTTTTATCACCATACCTTGCAAAGGTGCCCATGATGAAAAGAAATGACTTGTTTAGTTATCTTATCATTTGAGCAGAAGCGTTCTGCGTGGTATATCAAAACACTATTGTTTTAGTCTTATAGCCACAATGATGTTGTTAAGGGAAGACATACAAGATCTCGTCCAAGGACGAGAACGAGAGACGGGCAGGGAACAAGAACTTGGAGAATTCTGTAATTTGGAATCTATGATGAACGTATTAATTCGAAGAATTAAAAGAAAGGGCTCAGTGGAATTAATCTGATCTTGGAAATATTCCAGAGATCCAAGAATTAATTCTCCCAAAGCTGTTTATTGAATAATACTAATGACCCTTATATAGCTATTACAAGAGTCCTAATTCTAAAAGGAAATAAATGCTAATTAAGAAGTTGCTTAAAGCATAATAGAAATAATTATTGAAAAGAGATAAATGCTAATTAGGAAACTGCTGAATAGGAAGCTAGAAATAATTAGAGAAAGAGATAAATGCTAATTAGGAAGGTGCTGATTAGGAAGCTTCCAAAACTGCCAGAACACAGATTTCTTTCTCAGCCACTTTGGATTCCAGAATCACCGTTCCTAATCATCCGATTTCTACGTCCATATTTCCGATCATAGAATTGGTCTGTAACAGATGTCTATAGAATTCATACCATCATCTAGTAGCTATATATCAACCAGAAATCATTCTGTATTTGACTATAGGACTCGCTGACTCTGAATTTGCAACTGTAATTGTTTGATTGACTGTATCAGAAAAACAGTATTTATATCATTGTATACGATTTCATGTCAAGTGACTTACCTAAGTGTTTTTTATCCCAGACCTGCTTTCTGATGGTGTACGAGCCTTCATGAAGGGATCACCAAATATGAACTCTCTAGTTGGCTTTGGATCACTTGCTGCATTTAGTATAAGTGCTGTATGACTTGTTTGAAGCTGGGCATCATTTTGTTTGTTGTATTGTTTCAGTTTTCTTTGTAGTAGTTTAGCACTACTTTAGCTGTTAATAAACAGTCCGCTTATAAAATTTACTGTTATATTTATCCCGTCTTAGGCCTCAAACATTGAAAATTGAAAACTTTTACCTCTTCGCAGGTATCACTTCTTAATCCTGCTCTTCAATGGAATGCATCTTTTTTTGATGAACCGGTTTGTTCTTGCCTCCCCCCACCCCTGTAGTGGATACATAATTGAGCAAGAAATACCTGTATTTAAATGTTTGGAAAAACTAACAACTTCACTATTTTATAATCTATGAGATTTCTCACTGAAAGCAGTTGATTTTAGCATGCAGGTCATGCTTCTTGGATTTGTTCTGTTGGGGCGTTCTTTGGAGGAAAGAGCGAGGCTCAAAGCATCTAGTGACATGAATGAGTTACTGGTAGGTTGTTTACTTGTTTGTAAAACTATATCAGCGCTCCCGGCTCCTCTAACTTTTCTTCCAACCACGACTGGTAGTTGTTTCTATCTGTTGGAGACTTGAAGCCTCTGTCAAATGTCAATAAACATAATTTGAAGGCTAAATAGCAGAACTGTTCCGACCATGCTGCTTACTGGCTTGTAATTATCAGTGTTTAAATACCACAGAGAGAGAGAGAGGTAGGGATGGGAAGACAAATGGAGAGATTCCCTTTATCTCCTAACATGAATTGTAAAAGTAAAACATGGTAGTTGGACCACCAGGCTGGATTCAGCCTCCAGCGAACTACTTCAATAAAAAAATTGACAGGCCATGTAGAGCCACTATGCAGTATCTCTTAGCTCAGGTGAATTTACATTTTTGTGCCCATAAGTTGTATTATAAACTGTATAATGCTCTCTCAGTTCCAAAAATAATGTCCCATTTTCTATTTTACTATGTCTTGATGTCCCATTTTTATTGTCTTGCTTCCTAAAATGGTTAAAATTGAGCGGAACATAATAAAGATGATTGTTATTAACTACTAAGCATTATTAAATGGGTGAGATGAAATAAAGGTCCTTTTTCTTATGATTTGGGCTAAAATGGCATAGAAATCTTTGGGACTCATTGACTCAGAGAGAAGTTGTTATCATACACTTATTACACTTTGATCGGGTTAAACTTGCAAGTATACAAGTGCCGGTGTAGTAATAAAGTACCGGTAAAATATTATGGTAAATGTTCCCCGGCATTTACCCCGCCAATGGGTGGTTTCCTCACCGGGTAAAAAAAAAAAGAAAAACATAAAATACCAGTAAGTACCGGGTTGATCCACATGGAAATGATTGATATTATAAAGTTCGGGATTTGAATATAAGTATAGAAATGATATAAACTTGGAGGAATTTGTTCTTTGGTATTGGTTATAATGAGAATAAGGATTACCAAGGTAATCAGGACTCACTTAAATGCTTTTATAGGGATTAATACCAGTTCTTTGCCAATAATTATGAATATGATGTAGCTAATATATTCCCGACTCTGGTTAAGAAAGTGTGATACACTTGTAATTTCCGTATGTATGTTTACGTTTTTAGCTAGTTTTGGTTGTTTAGTATTTCGGAAATTACACACTTTTGGTGTAATAGTTTAGTTTGTTGAATTCTTGTAATTTGTTTAGATTAGGGTCATTCTGAGCTCAAACAGGTCTACCATCACTCAAAGGACAGTTGGTGAACCCCAAAAGTGGAAGGAAGGTGCAAAATCACAAGAAAAAAGGGAAATCCTGATTTTGGTCTATACTCGGTCGAGTATTACCTATACTCGATCGAGTATAAGGTTGAAACTTCAAATCGGATCGGATCCGAGGACAAAGGAACATGCCGGGAAGATTTTGGCCACGATTTAGTGTCTATACTCGATCGGGTAGACCGACATACCCGATCGAGTATGCCTTTGAGTTTAAACCCGAAATCGGTCGAGTATGGCTCGAATATCACTTTCTGCACATACTCGACCGAGTATGAACATATACTCGATCGAGTATACCTCGAATCTGGTATTTCTACACATACTCGATCGAGTATCTGTATATACTCGATCGAGTACCCGAGCCTGCACCTCAAAAAGCCTATAAATACACCTCCTTTCCTTCACTTTAAGAAACCAATTCCTTTATACTCTTAAGCTCAGTTTAGAATAGCATTTCTTTATATTTCTTTTAGCATGTTTAGTCTCCAAATGAGGAGCTAAACTTCCATTTCTTGGTATTGCTCTTGAAGCTTGTTGATTATCAAAGTTGTGAGTTATTTTCTTAACTTCTTTTCCTTGAATATTAATTCTTCCTTTAAATACCATTTCTATATCAATGTTGGGGAGTGTTGCTAAGATGACAATTAGTTAACATCTTGACATTAGTTATAGTAATAGTCATTTCTTCCTCTATGTTAATATTGGGGAGTGTTACTAAGATGACAATTAGTTAACATCTTAATATTAACTATAGTAGGATTCATCTTCTTTAATATTCTTCCTTGAGTATCAATTAATTCCTATTCATATTTCATATTAATATCTTGAACATTACTTAAAGGATCAACTAGTTTTGTTTCATATATTAATTACTACTAGAGACGATCAACGAACCAATGGTTAATCGTTGATAGTTTCACAAGTAAGTAACTTCGGTTTGTTAATGCACGGTCGTGGTTAATAAACTTAAGAGGGATTAATTTTGTTGGTTAAACCGAAACCGTTGTGTTGAGGTTATCAATCTCAATTGATTTCATCAAGGAGTTAAAAGACTAAATGCTACTATCAAGTCGGTATACGGCGTTGTTCTATACTTGACTAATAGTAAGGGTTATTAATGAACGGTCGTTGTTAATAACTACCCTCGATGAATTGGATATACTCCTCGATTGAGTATTCGAGAGGAGATAAGTTATAGATATAACAATGATCGACTAAAATATATCAACAAGTGGAAAGTAGCAATACCAAGTCCCTTTTTATCTTTGAATTAAATCTCATATAAGTCTTTTATCTTAGTATTTAATTAATTAAATTCAAACAATACCAAAACCCCCCTTATTTACTAGTTTTACTAAAAAGAGAATTATTCCTTTCCCTGTGGATACGAACTCTACTACGCTATACTACGTATTAGTGCTAGTATTGAATTTACTTTGAGTGCACTCACGACAAAGTGCACGTCAAATTTGGCGCCGTTGCCGGGGAAAGGCAATTATTTTTCTTTTTATTTTATCTCATAAAAATCAAAAACAAAAAAAAAAAAAACAAAAAAAAAAAAACAAAATCTTACTTTTCTATTTTCTGAGCTTACATGAGTATATGGATACCAACATATCATCCCTAGAGAGGCAAATTTCCGTCTTAACTTCTCTAATAAAGGAGTTTATTTCATGTTCAAAATCTCAAGATGTCCATACATGCAACATTTGCATGTCACACAGACATCTTACGGATTTTTGCCCAGAACTTCAAAAAGAATACTTTGAACAAAGGAATGATGTTGGTTTCCAAGAGAGGTATGATTCATTCTCCAACACATATAACCCATACTCAAGTTCTTATTCTAGCATGTCCACTGAAGACATGATCCGATCTCTCACTATCAATGTGACAAATATGCAACAAAATGTGTCACAATGCCCGCAAGAAACAATGTCCAACGAACAGAACTTGGACAATCAAGCGCAACAAATGCCAAGCATTGTGAACCACATGAGCGAGGAGGAGGAAGAAGAGGAGAATACGGAGAAAGCTCAACTGGAGGAGGAACCTCAAAACTCAACTCAACCATCGGCCATTCCTGAGATCATGCCACCAATTCCGGAGGCTCTAAATGAAACACAAAGGGTGGAGAAGGACAAAGATATCTATGAAATCTTCCGCAATTGTGAATATAATTTAGACTTCTCTTTGTTCACAAATAAGCAAGGAATAACGGTGGAGTTGCACAAATATTTCATACTCCCTCTTATACCACCCGAATCAAAACCCCTTCCATTGACCATGCTTAGAGAAAATCATGGACCCTCACTCTCACAATATGAAGCGATACAAATCCGGATATTTGATCCCGGAAAGATTGTCCAAATAGAGGGTCGAAAAATATTGTATTTCTATAAGAGTCACCCGGGTGAAAATTTGAAGAAGATGAAGTATCACGATCCAAGCTTGAACGATTGAACACAATGATGGCGTCGTGCCGCGACGTTAAATTAGGCGCTTCTTGGGAGGCAACCCAAGCAAGGTATGTTTTCTTTTCAGTTTATTTCAGTATGTGTGCGTGTGTAAAAAAAAAAAAAAAAAAAAAAAAAGTGTATCTGGGGACATACCCGATCGCGTAATCTTCCATACTCGGTCGGGTATGGGTAAAAATAGGGAGAACCGAGTTCCATACTCGAGCGAAATGGTCAGTATTTTAAACATTGGAGGCATACTCGATCGAGTATCAGTAATACTCGGTCGAGTATGTCCAGAAAGGCAAATCCAAAAAGAGCCTGTTTCCAGCACTCGATCGAGTATGGACATATACTCGGTCGAGTATGTCTGGAAAATCAACCTACCAGACCCTGTCTTGAAGGCCCGATCGAGTATTAAGCCATATTCGATCGGGTATTACTGGAAAACTTCATACTCGAACCCCTGTGTTGAGTATCCGATCGGGTAAATCTGCAACTTAACCCCAAAACACTCCCCAAAACACTTCATCTTCTCCAGACACCCATACCAACCTCGACCCCTTCTCCCCAAAACTCCATTTTTCTACCTTCTCTCTACCATATCTCCATCATTTCCCCACCAAAACACCCACAACCCACCAAAAAACAAAATCACCCTACTCCACAAACAACAAAAGCCGAAATTGGGCACTAGGGACAGTGCTTGAACTAAGTGTGGGGGAGGAGACTCATCATGGGTATGTAATCTTATTTTCTACCTTTTACTACGCATGAACTTCTTTAAAAAAAAAAACAAAAAAAAAATGAAGAAAAGAAATGCTAGTTAGGTTGAAAACCCAACAAAATGGGCAATCTAAGCAAAAAAAGGCTTGTGAAAAATGATGAGTGAGTTGGGAGAATGGAAAATGAAAAGAGATGCTAGGATGAAAACCTGAAAAGGCTCCTAGGCAAAATGAGAGATATGAGAGTAATATTTATTTTTGCATGCACTCATTTAATCTCTTTGGAGAAAAAGAGGAAGAAGAGAAGAAAAAGAAGAAAAAAAAAAGGGCAAGAAGATGGAGCATAGAAGATCATTAAACCCTAGAAAGAATGTTGTTGTAAAAACTCATTTTTCCCCTGGTGGTCTTAGTTTCCTTCTTTCTTGAACTTTTGGAAAACTCTTAAACCGGTTGGATGTTTCTGTTTTACTCGAGGTCGAGTAAAGAACTAAGTGTGGGGGAGTTGATACACTTGTAATTTCCGTATGTATGTTTACGTTTTTAGCTAGTTTTGGTTGTTTAGTATTTCGGAAATTACACACTTTTGGTGTAATAGTTTAGTTTGTTGAATTCTTGTAATTTGTTTAGATTAGGGTCATTCTGAGCTCAAACAGGTCTACCATCACTCAAAGGACAGTTGGTGAACCCCAAAAGTGGAAGGAAGGTGCAAAATCACAAGAAAAAAGGGAAATCCTGATTTTGGTCTATACTCGGTCGAGTATTACCTATACTCGATCGAGTATAAGGTTGAAACTTCAAATCGGATCGGATCCGAGGACAAAGGAACATGCCGGGAAGATTTTGGCCACGATTTAGTGTCTATACTCGATCGGGTAGACCGACATACCCGATCGAGTATGCCTTTGAGTTTAAACCCGAAATCGGTCGAGTATGGCTCGAATATCACTTTCTGCACATACTCGACCGAGTATGAACATATACTCGATCGAGTATACCTCGAATCTGGTATTTCTACACATACTCGATCGAGTATCTGTATATACTCGATCGAGTACCCGAGCCTGCACCTCAAAAAGCCTATAAATACACCTCCTTTCCTTCACTTTAAGAAACCAATTCCTTTATACTCTTAAGCTCAGTTTAGAATAGCATTTCTTTATATTTCTTTTAGCATGTTTAGTCTCCAAATGAGGAGCTAAACTTCCATTTCTTGGTATTGCTCTTGAAGCTTGTTGATTATCAAAGTTGTGAGTTATTTTCTTAACTTCTTTTCCTTGAATATTAATTCTTCCTTTAAATACCATTTCTATATCAATGTTGGGGAGTGTTGCTAAGATGACAATTAGTTAACATCTTGACATTAGTTATAGTAATAGTCATTTCTTCCTCTATGTTAATATTGGGGAGTGTTACTAAGATGACAATTAGTTAACATCTTAATATTAACTATAGTAGGATTCATCTTCTTTAATATTCTTCCTTGAGTATCAATTAATTCCTATTCATATTTCATATTAATATCTTGAACATTACTTAAAGGATCAACTAGTTTTGTTTCATATATTAATTACTACTAGAGACGATCAACGAACCAATGGTTAATCGTTGATAGTTTCACAAGTAAGTAACTTCGGTTTGTTAATGCACGGTCGTGGTTAATAAACTTAAGAGGGATTAATTTTGTTGGTTAAACCGAAACCGTTGTGTTGAGGTTATCAATCTCAATTGATTTCATCAAGGAGTTAAAAGACTAAATGCTACTATCAAGTCGGTATACGGCGTTGTTCTATACTTGACTAATAGTAAGGGTTATTAATGAACGGTCGTTGTTAATAACTACCCTCGATGAATTGGATATACTCCTCGATTGAGTATTCGAGAGGAGATAAGTTATAGATATAACAATGATCGACTAAAATATATCAACAAGTGGAAAGTAGCAATACCAAGTCCCTTTTTATCTTTGAATTAAATCTCATATAAGTCTTTTATCTTAGTATTTAATTAATTAAATTCAAACAATACCAAAACCCCCCTTATTTACTAGTTTTACTAAAAAGAGAATTATTCCTTTCCCTGTGGATACGAACTCTACTACGCTATACTACGTATTAGTGCTAGTATTGAATTTACTTTGAGTGCACTCACGACAAAGTGCACGTCAAATTTGGCGCCGTTGCCGGGGAAAGGCAATTAATTTTTCTTTTTATTTCAATCTAAAAAGAAAAAAAAAAAAATAGTTGAAGTATAAAGATTTCTATTTCTTCTGAGCTTGTTTGAGTATATGGTAAGAACCCGATCTATAAACGAAATCATCTACCAAACAAACCCCCAAACGGAACAAGCCTTCGAGAGGTTTAGGAATTTATTTCCGAATACTTCTTCGGAAGAATCATCAAGTGCTAGTTCTCAATCTAGCGAGACCGAAGAGTCAATCACTATGGCTCACGAAACAAGAACACTGAGGGAGCTCACGGCTCCGAATCTAGATCAACAACCTCTATGTATCACTTTTCCAACTCTTGATACGGGGGTCACATTTGAGCTAAAATCTGGGCTCATTCATCTCCTTCCATCATTCCATGGCTTACGAGGGGAGGATCCAAACAAACACCTGTCGGAGTTCCACATTGTGTGAAACGTGCTTACAGATACTCGATCGAGTAAAGTGAAAACGTGCTTTTTGTTACGTGTAAGTCCCGTTACAGCTTACATTCATCAACCAAAAACGTATTGAATATCGAGACATTTCACACGTATCATACACGACCGGATATATTTCTATTCTCAGTACTTCATGTGTTTATCTTTATCTTATCCTTTTTACCTTTCTTTTCTTTTTTACTCCAATATCATGTATCAATTCATTTTAGCCGATCCCAAAATCTTTTGGGACTAAGGCTTGGATGTTGTTGTATTTCGTTCTTTAATGTTGCAGTTAATAAAAATAATTGAGTTTTAATAATGTGGAACACAGTCGACTTTCAAAGTATAATAATTGAGTTCTTTAATGTTTGACATACTCAGTATGCACTACTCAAAAGAAGTAGCCTTGAGTTTGACTTATTGTGTGAAAGTAGAGTTATAGACAACAATAATAGATCTTAGATCATCTTTGTACTTAGAGAACATTACTACAGTATTTAACTTAAAAAGGGAGCAGTTTAAGGCATCTTTACTCCACATTTCTTTAAATAGCCTATATCATCAATGATCATTCATCTTAAAAATTATATGTAAATGGGTCTGTTTTTTTCATATTAATCCCTTGAAAAGTTAAGAAAAAGAGGGGCTTAGACTCTACATTTGGAGAGTCGAATCTTACTGTTTATTTGTATTCTTTACTACAAAGAGGCCTTTGGAGACAAAAATGATTTTATTGGGTAGAGTCTCCAACTTGAATATCATCAGTTGGTACTTCATTTATTGGGTGGAGCCTTAAAATATCAACTTTATAGTCATATAATAGAAATTTCATTGTTATACTCAGAATAACATTGGGTTTCAATTGACACCCTAATCTATCAAACTTTGGTTCAGAAGTTTTTTTTTATAAAATGTCTACGTTTTGTATCTCTCTCAGTCTCTCTCTGATAAAGTGTTGTTGGAATCTTTTTGCAGTCGCTTATATCCACTAAATCAAGACTTGTGGTTACTCCTTGTGGAAGTGGCTCCTCAAGCAATGTGGTCAGCTCTGATGCAATATACATTGAAGTACCAACTGATGATATTCGAGTTGGAGACTCATTGCTGGTTTTGCCTGGTGAAACAATACCCGTAGATGTAAGTCTCTAGTTCTCCACTGAAGTAGTACTTCTGATTTCTGAAGTTACAGATAGCCACTTGAATCTCAAAGCCTCATCAGATCATGAGATGCTCTATTGTTATATCTTCATTTGCCAGTTAGCTATACCTTATCAACCAAGCGTAGAACAACTCTATATCTGCAAAGTGCAGTTGCAGACTTGCATTCTTTCATATATAAGCATTTTCTGATTTCTTTAAATGAGTATGAAATTAACCATAGAAACATGTTGATTTTGCAATGGAAGTCAGACTATGGAGTTAAAAAAGTTGAATTAGATTCTAGATGATAGTCCGTAGCCACATGTATTAAAATCTGTGCTATTGAAGGTGCTGCTAGGTGGGCATAGAGGAGCCTAGGCGCAGCCTTACAGATATATTTTTTGTTTTGATTTTGTATATGGTTTCTTCAAATGAGATTAAAAAATGAAGAGCTGTGAATCAAAAGAGCTACAAGTAGCAAAGATTCAATAAAACATGAATGTAAAATCAAACACCCCATGTTTTATACAAATACATGTCTATTAATTTTAACTTATTATTGTGCAAGATAAAATATTGTATGCATAAAAAGACATCATTTTGCCAAGCAAAAAAAATGGGGGAAAAATCAATAGAAACCTGTTCTGTCACAGACTACCTAGGCCGGCTGCACAGGCGGCCAGAAGACTTATTAGCCTCATCATCATCATAATTACCCCAGTGCCGCAAAGGCACCCACCTACGGTGGGGTAAGGGGGGGTCGGATGTACGCAGCCTTACCTCTGTACTAAAGCACAGAGAGACTGTTTCCGGATGACCCAAGGTGAAAATCGCGTCGAAAATTGTATGGACTGACTGCTGCTTCATAACAAAGAAGCGCAGACAGTTTAGTGAGCCATTTTGCTTTATTCCATCATATTCTCAAGCCAAAGAATAGTGAATCTTTGGTTCCATTGCAAATGATGGAAAACAAGACTTATTAGCCTATTAAAGAAAAATTAGGAACAGCTAAGCACCACCCACTCCTATTAGAAATCTGATTTAAATCATTCCCGACATAAAAGATGTGAGCTTTTGTTCAACCGCAGAAGATGCAAGTGAATAGATCTGCAACCCTACTAATGACTGTATTGTGCAAAGTACTTATGTTTTCTGAATTTCACCTTTTCTCATTCTTTTAAGTTGATATGCTTAATTGCCAGGTCATATTATGCAGGGTTATGTTGTTGCAGGTAGGAGTGTTGTGGATGAATCTATGCTTACTGGGGAATCCCTTCCGGTATTTAAAGAGAAAGGCTTGTCTGTATCAGCAGGAACAATAAATTGGGTATGTGTGTATGATATTCATTTTGGGGTTAAGAGTTATATGTAAGAAGATTATTGTTCCTCATAATATTCACACAATGAATTCAGATAACTCCTTTACACAGTACATTTGATCAAATCATTGATATTCATCATACATAAAACAACAACATCCAAGCCTTAGTCCCAAAAGAGTTTGGGGTCGGCTAACATGAATTGACATATGAAATAAGAGTTAAAGAAGATTAAAAGAGATAAATCCTTCACACGTCTTGTCCCTCTCCTCCCTGCCTCTTCTCCTGACCTCTCAATTAGACTAACATGTGCATCACTCGGTCTTTTACACATGGCTAAACCACCGCAATCGAGACTCTTGTATCTTGTTTACAGTAGGTGCTACTCCCACACCTACTCCCACCTTTTGCCTGATTATCTCAATCTTAGGGTCTTTTCTAGTATGTCCATACATCCAACGCAACTGTTAAGATTAAACTCACGCAACACGAAGATTAATAAGAAGAACACACAAAATTTGGTAACCCAGTTCGTCACGAATGACTACGTCTGGGGGCGCTACCAAGCCAGGATATTGCTATTAATTTTGGATCAATGATTACAAGGAGAGAGCTTGTATTTATAGAGAGTAAAACCTAACCCCAGGCTTAAAAGGACGTGCGCCCATATCAATAAAGACCCAAAATGTGAAAACCTAACCCAAAATGTGAATCGACAGAATGGCTTGGTTATACAGTCTCTAACACCTTACAACAACATGTGAATCTCAGCCACACTTATCTTTGTAATGTGACATTGTTTCACCGCTCAACACTTACTGTCTGATAAAACTTACCCTTCAGTCTAGTCGGCATACCTCGATCACATAAAAATCCTAAGTCCTAATGCACTCTTCCATTTCATCCACCCTGATATAATCTTTATTTATACAGGCTAGTGCTGACACACTATGAGTAATTGATTGGTCTAATTGTGGTGAAATCCTGACCAGATATTCTAAATCTCATTGTGGTGAAATTGTGAGTGATGTGTTTTTATTTTCTTAGTATTTGTGTGATCTAATTGTTATATCATTATCGTGTATCAGGATAGTCCAATAAAAATTGAGGCCACATCCACTGGTTCCAACTCAACTATATCCAAGATTGTTAACATGGTACTTGGATCGATAGTGAATATATTTGAGGCAAATGCAGGGTGGGGGGCGGTATCTGGTGGACTATTCAGTTAATGCTTTAATGGATTTGGTCACTGCGTGGAACATACTAAATTATCCTTAAGAGGTTCCTCTAAATAGGACTAATACATAGACAAAGTACTCAAATAGGACTACTAATGTTTTGTTTCCAAAATAGGGCTTATTTGATCATATTAAAATAGAACAAGTCCTATTTTAGGAAGAAAACAATGATGGTCTTATTTGTACACTTTGTCTATGTTTTAGTCCTATATAAGGAATTTTTTCATTATCCATCTCCTCGCTCTTCAGGTTGAGGATGCTCAAGGCCGGGAAGCACCGATCCAGAGGCTTGCAGATTCAATTGCCGGACCATTTGTGTATTGTGTAATGACTTTATCAGCAACAACATTTGCTTTCTGGTACACCTTTTCTTTCTTTGCTAGCGTGTTAGACAAATTTGGTGTTGCCCTTTCCTATTAACTGCACAACTTTATGATCACAGTAATAACAGCAATAGTATTCACAAGCTTCATTTTTGGAGCCACTATTGTTCTGCTAAATGGATGAACTGATATTGTTATTACCTTCCTCTATCTTATAGCTGACCTTTTACAAATTTGCTATCCATTGGAATCCATCTATTAGAGTACTCATATAATACAGAGTTTATTTCGTCCTTACTTAAAATATTCTGGTGTTTAATTGGCGTGCAAGTAACATAGTTACATGGTTCTTAGTGTCGGCATATAACATACAGAAAAAGTTCAGTACTCCTGATTTTGTGGTTTTTGGTTGTTTGGGAATGATAATGGGTACACATGTATCTGTCTTGATGTACTGTGTCAACTAAGGTGTTGTAGTTGTGTGACTTGTGTCTGTTTCATATATGCTGCTTGCCATCATTATTAGGTACTATCTCGGTTCAAAAATCTTCCCAGATGTTTTGCTTAATGCCATTGCCGGACCAGATGGAGACCCTCTGCTTCTTAGCTTAAAGCTTGCTGTTGATATCTTGGTATTCCATAATGCACTTAAACTACCATACTGGCATATTCAGATACAAATGTTCCTATATTGTGTCATATAATATCTGTATTGATTGACATCTTTAAAAACAAATAGTAATTTGTTAGATACATGAAATTATATATCAATGGTGTGGCTTGGTGAGAATGCTCTCATGTTTTCAGGCATCCATGCTGATTTTTAAGTGTTGAATACTGGAAGTTTTATTGGCATAACCTTTCAACATAACTACTTCAAACACTAATGCAATGCTTATACAGAAAATTATTGGACCTCATAACCGACTAAACCTAGGGTTTCTTAACTTCAACACCCCCCTCAAGCTGAAGCGCCAACGCCAAATGTTCCATGCCTGATGCAAAACTTGAATATGAAGCTCAACAGTGAAAACTGAGACTTAAAATTTCACTTGGAACTTGACTTCACTGAGTTGAACCTTACTTGAGACAGACTGAAATCTTAAAACTGAGAACTTGAACTTTACCAAACTCCACTGAACTTCACTTCATTCTGTTTTACTTCAACTTTCTTATTTTTCATTTGGTTTCTTCTTGAGAAGATATGTCACTGGTTCTGGATGATGAGAAATGGAAAAGAAAGAAACTGATTCTGGTGACTGGTTAGTACCAACTTCCACAGGTTGTCCCGCCTTGAAGAGACAATTCAAATGGTTCAATGGTGCAGTGATAGATCAACTGAAGGAGATCAGACAAAAAGTTAGAGTTGACTGCCACTGTCGAAGGCGCATCGGCAGAGGTCATGGGTTGCATGGCGTAGCCTCCGACATGATTCCAAGTAGAATAAAATGGTTGATTTTATCAAACATTAATTGGATATCTGTCAAAATGAAGGTGCTGCTCTGCAAGCTTACTGTTCGTTGGTGATGGGGAGGCTTGGGTTACAGATGGTACTTCAGAATATTTTAGGAATATCCTTTGATATCATGTTGGATAATAAAACTTCAGTCAATATTAACTTTCAACTTGAAAATTTCTAAACACATACAAAGGGCTGATTCTGGGGCCTACTCACTCTCTAGTAACCTGTTGATAACTTACTAAATGGAGTCATTGCATTTCTGTTATCTAGTTCATGGGTTTGTTTGTAGTTTTTTTAGCTTGTAAACCTAATATAGGACCCAGATGACATCATATTTGTTTGGATGAATAGCAAAGTTGCATCGTTTTAATCCCAACAGCTCTGAAAAATAAAAGGGAAAATGGAAACTAATAATCCAACCTTTTAGCGGTCTTCTTACAATAGTCCCACCTTTTGATTATTCATGAATAATCCAACCTTTGCACCTCATCTTCATTCACTGGTCCCTGACCGGTTGATGACCTGCTATTCCAAGTTATTTTCTTATCTTTGCAAAATATTATCTTTGTGAAAGGTGAGATTTATGGTATAATGGTTTGCAAAGATAAGAAAATAACTTGGAATAGTAGGTCATCAACCGGTCAGGGACCAGTGAATGAAGATGAGGTGCAAAGGTTGGATTATTCATGAATAATCAAAAGGTGAGACTATTGTAAGAAGACCGCTAAAAGGTTGGATTATTAGTTTCCATTTTCCCAAAATTAAACCATCTAAATATTAGTTGGGGCCTCTAAAAAGGTTTCATTCACGTGGTAAGACACTATATCTACAGTCCTACACCTGATATGTCGGGGATCCGAGTCACTATGGAAAATTTGGGTGCCCGCACTGCATGTCACTCTTGGCTGCTATTTAGGAAACGGCATATAACTGTAGTTGAAAGTTTGAGCCATGATTACATTGTCCAGACAAACATACTAGATTATTTGGATTTGGTACACACACTACAAATCATTTTGGAACAGAGGTTATGATGCGGCCTTGCAGTTTGGATACTTTATTTAAAAGCGTAACTCTTCATGTGGTGGCATATACATGAGTAAAATTTTGGCGAATGTTAGACACAGATACAAATCAAAGCTAAAACAGTAAACGAACACACAGATCTGATGAACAGAGATGGAAATAGGTGTTTATTGATGAAATAGGTAATCTGTAGGTAGTACAGGGATTTCTTAGGCAACCGGGACTCTTAGGCAACAAGGCAACAGTTCTCAAAATAACAGTCTACCTATTATTAGCTACCCAACTTACTATTTATAGTAGTAGGTCCACGCAGGGACTAAAATAGATAAACAGACTCATTAAATGACCCCAGCCCACTTAATTGACCTCAGCCCATTTTATTTCTCCATTCAAATACCCTATTAAAATACTAAATAGGCAGATTTCTAACATTACTCCCCCCCTATTTAACCACCTTGCTCTCAAGGTGGGTAATAAGACACAGCCTTGATCTTGAACTTCCTCTTCATCCTGGAACCTCTTCCTTCCCAGTACCTCCTTGGTTTCTGATCTAGGAGCTTCATTTCTTTCACTTTCATTATCAGATCTTTCACAGCAAACAGGAGCAGAAACTGGAGCAGAAACTGGGTATAAAAAGTCCCTGGAATTACACTTGAAGCCTCTTCCTTGTAACCCATCTCTTCATATAAAGGTTCTAAGGCAGACATGCTATGAGTTGCAGCTCTAAATGGATCAAAGAACAAACCACTTTGAACCCTTACAAGAACACACATACCAACTTCAACTGGTTGAACAATTCTCCTTTTCCCAGTAATTCCTTCTTGTAGTATTTCTTTGATATTCCCCTCTATATCCTCTTTTTGTCCTTGCGGGTATCTATAAAACTTCAGGTTAGGTACTTCTGCTCCCTCTTCAATGTTAATAGCATAGTCATACTTTCTAGGAGGAGGTAATCCTGGTCTGGGAGTAAATACCTCAGAAAATTCTGCCATAATTCCTTCCCAATTGGAATCCTTCAGCTGATTTCCCTCTCCCTCCATTTTTCTGCCTTCCCAGTCGATAAGATAGCCATCACCAGCATCTTGAACAATTTGTGACATGGTCTTCAGAGATACTTTCATAGATTTTGACTTAGGGTCCCCATGAATAGCCTGACTTAACCCCAGCTGATGTCATTTTATGCTCTGCTTCTGAAAATTGATCTCCACATCCCCCAATCCAGTCAACCAATCCATGCCAAGAACCAAGTCAGCTCCCTCCAACTCCAGCATGTAGAAATCTTGTTGAATGACAGCTCCCTGCAAGCTTAAAATTAATTGTTCACACCTGCCCTTGTTGAAGACCTTATCACCATTCCCAAGCTGCACCTTGTAGCCAGCAATGGTCTGATAAGGGAGGGTTAACTCCTCTACCATTTTCTGAGATATGAAGTTGTGTGAGGCTCCACTATCAATTAGAACATCTACTGGCTTCTCTCCCTTAGCCCATTTCAGAATCCCTTGTACCCTAAAAGCCCTCATAGAGGGTGTTTCCTCCTGGTTCATGAAGGATAATTGCATGGACTTAGATTCCATGGTGATCTTTTCATCTTCAGGAATTACCCCTTCTGAGTTATCTAATTCCTCTTCTCCCTCGGAATCTTCCACTAAAATCAGTGTAATTCTTCATTTTGCATGAGTGCTCTCTTCCCCATCTTTCACCGCATTTGAAACAAAGCCCCTTCCGGCTTCTATCTTGGTATTCTTCTTGTGTCAGCTGTGGCCCTACTCTTCTTATGTTTGCGGGATTTATTTTTGTTTCCTTCTTCCCATCAGGAGTAAACCAAGGTTGATTTCCCTTGTGGTCTGCAGTATTTCTACCATTGTTATAATACCCAGAACTGCTTGCCTTGGATCTATACCCTTCTCCCCAGGCTGTTGCCTTGTAATTCACAGGCCCTTTTTCCTTCCCAGCAGTTTTCTCTTCAGCCTTGCCTTTCTCATAGATAGCATCATTTTTCTGCTCTATCAAAAGAGCCCTATCCATAATGGCAGACAAGGATCTGGAGTTGCACAGTTTCAGCTCAGCCTTGACCTCATCCTTGAGACCGTTAATCAAGATGCCTCTCAATATTCCCCTGTCAATCTCCCTCTGAGGAGCCATCACCATTTTGAATTCCTCCCTGTAATCTGCCACAGTTCCTGTTTGTTTCAAGCTCAGCATGGGGCCATAGGGGTTCTGTATTAAGTCCGGTTGGAACCTGCGAATCAATGCATCCTTCAGGTTTTCCCAGGTTCTCTCTTCCGCCTCTCTTCTGCCTGATGTTCCCACCATTGGAACCAATTCAGCGCTTTATCCTCCATTGCCACAACAGATACTTCCACCCTATCCTCTTCTTCAATATTGCTCAGTCTGTAATAACGCTCCATTCTCACGATCCAATTGTATGCCCCATCCCCATTGAACATCGGTAGATCCACCTTCCTTCCCGTATGAACACGACGAGTGTGGACTGGAGAATGTAGGGACTTACCTCTCAATCGTGCAGGGCTATGCGAGGATCTTGAGCGATGATGGTGGGGTGATCGCGATCTGCCCCTATGCTGATCGCGATGGTTGTGGATCTGCTCATTCAATGCGGCCATAGAAGCCACTAGGTTGCTCTGGATCTGTTCATCATTGTCGCCATAGCAGCCGTGAGATTAGCCACCTCCGTCTTCATCTCCAGCTCCAATGAGTCCACGCGATTTTCCATTTTTGACCTGGTTTTGACCATTCACCTCAGATCGCTAGCTTAGATGTAATCGCTGTCCACTTCCGACCTCCAGGAGCGGTGATGCTCTGATACAAATCAAAGCTAAAACAGTAAACGAACACACAGATCTGATGAACAGAGATGGAAATAGTTGTTTATCGATGAAATAGCCAAATAGGTAATCCGTAGGTAGTACAGGGATTGCTTAGGCAACCGGGACTCTTAGGCAAGGCAACAGTTCTCAAAATAACAGTCTACCTATTATTAGCTACCCAACTTACTATTTATAGTAGTAGGCCCACGCAGGGACTAAAATAGATAAACAGACTCATTAAATGACCCCAGCCCACTTAATTGACCTCAGCCCATTTTATTTCTCCATTCAAATACCCTATTAAAATACTAAATAGGCAGATTCCTAACAGAGAAACATTCTCTCCTGCCTGGATTTGTTCTAGATTTACTTATAGTTTCAACTGAAAAACTGCATGCCTACTTGTTGAAGCTTCATGTCATTTTTAATGATCAGTTATATTATCCAAAACTGCATATATCTCTGCATTGGTTAACATTGATCCCTTTTGACAGGTTGTTTCATGCCCTTGTGCATTAGGTCTTGCAACACCAACGGCGATTCTAGTTGGCACTTCACTTGGTAAATCATCATGCCATAGTAATATGAACAACATTGAAAACCCTATCAAAATATTTCCCTTGCTAGTTCAAGATGGTTATGAAATAGAAAGGGATAAAGTGAACAAACATAGATGTCATGCCTAATGGTGGCAGTAAGTGCCACCGTTTCCCCAAGGCTAATGGTTATCTGTGAAGGATTGATTCCACAACCGTCATCATAATAGGGCTTTCCACCTGCATGGAAAATATTATGAGATGATGGTGAGCTGCAATAGTTTTTATAGTGCTGACTGCTGACTGATTGCAAGGCTGACATTTTGGGTGACTTGCACGTCATGGAACATGACGACATAGTATGACTTATATAGTATGGATGTTTCTTGTTTTGGTGGGGGAGACTATTTGCAAGAAGTGACCAACATGCACCTCCTAACTTACCATCAATATTTGGTATTGGACCATTGAAGTTGGTATAATTTGATTTTGTCCCTAAGTTGTGCGCTTATAATCATTTTTGTCTCTTGCTCATTTTTGTAAATACAGCCTTTTGTTGTGCCTCATTGCAGTTTTTTTAGTTACTGAATTTTTATTTTTAGTCCTTTACCAAATATCTTCTGGTTCTTTAAATTAATGATTCACTAGTGTCTCTTATCAATGTGTGTATAGTGTTACTCAGTTCATACTAATTTAGAGATTTGATAAAAATGGATGGAAGATGTCGGTTAAAGGACTAAAAATGCAATAATATGATGTGTGGATTATCTTTTGTCTAAAATGAACGACGAAGGACCAAATGAAAAATTGCCCACAGATCGGAGAGAAAGGCAAAAAAAAATTAGCAGACCTTTTTGCTATCACACAAGAAGAATTCCTTATTGCTAATGATGCTAACCATACCTCACTAGCCATGTATGAGTGACTAGAATGATTAACATAGCATAATAAGTAGTGAGATTTTATAGGTCTAGTACGATCAGACAGAAGCTGTACGTATTATGTACTCCATTCTGCTAAGTTTTGTCAACTTTCTTTAATTAGCTCTGAAAGCTTAGCCGCCTTCCCATTAAAGTAAAAGTTTTTGGATAAAATAAATCTATTTCCTCTTCACCACAATCTTTACATTCTAATTCTACATGTCACTCAAAGTTGGTCAAGTTTTAAGGGACAAAGGGAGTAACATATATTGCTGGTTGGAGGAATATAGTTGATTCAAATTCTACTGTGTTGCATGTCTAGATTTTTTAATATTGACTCTAATTCCATTTTAGTATCGACTCCAATTCTTGTTTGATATCAAACAAACATACTACCTTTGTTCTCAAGTAATAGCAACATGTTGATTTGATACTATTAACATGCTCCACTTTGACTAAATTTGATTTATTAATGTATGAAAAAATAATATTTTGAAAATTATTTTTAAATTCAACTCATTATAACTTTTCAGCATCTGGTTTTTTATGTTTTTATACTAATAGGAAATTAAATATATTAATGCTCACTTTGCACTTAAGAATGGAAAAGTATTACTTTTACTAAAAAAACATCTGGATTACAAGCTATTTCTGGTTCCAATTTTTGAACTAAAACTCACTGAAGAAACTTTTGATATAAAGAATTAAAACATAGGAGAAACAATTACTACCTCCGGTTTTTTTTAATCTTCACAATTTGACTTCACACAAAATAAGGAAAGAAATTTGACTTTACTGTAGAGTACACTGTTGAGGCACTGTTTGACACTGTTTGGCACTGTTTGGCACTGTTTTGATGTAAATTTCTTTGCCAAAAAAGGAAATAAGGAAGTGTGAAGTTTATTTTAGACCGTCCCAAAAAGGAAAGTGTGAAGTTTATTAAAAACTGGAGGGAGTATCTTATATGTCACTTTGCACTTTTAATTTTCTTTTATCCTTTTCCTTCATTCCACTACTAAAACGTCTTATCTCTTCAGTCTACATCATATATCTAGGGCATTTGTTTAATCTTGAATTGTAAAGCTTTTCAAATTAAACAGGAGCAAAAAAGGGACTTCTTATTAGAGGAGGAGACGTACTGGAAAGATTGGCAGGCATAGACTATGTTGCTTTGGATAAGGTAGCTAAAGCTTCCAGTCCATGTAAACTTTTCAATACTTGTCATAAGAATTTAAAATTTTAATGGAAAAGAATAGAAGGAACAATCACGAATGTCTTAGTAGTTGTTTTATGCTGTACTGCTTGACCTTCGCAAATAACTTGCAGACAGGAACCCTCACTGAAGGAAAACCTGCTGTGTCTGCTGTTGCATCTATGGGTTGTGAACAATTAGATATTCTTCGAACTGCTGCTGCTGTGGAGAAAACAGCATCACATCCTCTCGCCAAAGCTATTTTAGGCAAGGCAGAATCATTAAATTTGGATATCCCTGTTACACGAGGACAATTAGCAGAAGCAGGCTCAGGAACAATGGCTGAAGTAGATGGTCTTTTAGTTGCGGTTGGAAAGTTGGAATGGGTTAGTGAACGCTTTAGTAAAAAAACAAGCTTCTCGGATTTAAAGAGTCTTGAGCAGTCTCTGATGCATGAATCGCAAAGCAGTTCATCATCAAGCCATTCCATGACAGTTGTATATGTTGGTTGGGAGGGTGAAGGCATTGTAGGTGCTATTGCAATATCTGATAATTTACGTGATGATGCTAAGTCTACAATTAAGAGGTATGAGGCCCTTCCTTTATTGACATTAATAGGCATAATAAATACTGTTCTGAAATTAGAATGTTGAGAAATATAGTAAATAGGAAGTGGTTATTATGCATTTCTTAAGACCATGTAGTCACTTGAAAGATGTTTTTTTATCAGTTTTTCCAGTGTAATTTCTTTTAAAACTTTAGTATGCATTATCTTATGATTTTTCCTTTCTGAGATTTTTATTTGATTATTACCAATTGAAGGCTTCAACAGAAAGGAATTAGAACCTTTCTCTTATCAGGGGACAGGGAAGAGGCAGTTGCAACAGTAGCAAATACAGTTGGGATACAAGATGAATTTGTTTATGCATCCCTGACTCCACAGCAAAAATCTGCTACCATCACAACTCTTCAAGCTTCAGGCCATCGTCTAGCCATGGTATTTGGTCTTATATTTAAATGATTCTCTCTCTAAAATATATGAATACTCTTGTTCAAGACTTGTGAAGTTATGGACATGCGTGTGTGTTCACTCTGTTTGACATGAAATTTCATAAAACATAACAGTTTTGGAAACATTCAGGATCCACAAGCCATATATTTTTAATCAATTTGTGGAACTAGGCCCAGTAAAAGGAATAAGGCCCCGTTTGGTAGCATTAATTGGCTTACTTTGCTCAATACGCAAAATAAGTAGCCTCTGACTTCTCTGTTAGTCTGAAAGCCTAAAACAGGTTTAACTACCTGCTTTTCCTTCTAGAAAGTTCAGTAGATTCAGTCACATTTTAGCCACTTCAGCCAAATAAGCATTACCAGGGCTCTTAGTTTACATCTAATCTTTTTCTTGCTTTTTTAATGGAGGTTGGTGATGGCATTAATGATGCACCATCTCTTGCTCTGGCTGATGTTGGGATTGCTTTGCAAGTTGAAGGCCAAGAAAATGCAGCCTCAAATGCAGCGTCAATCATACTTCTTGGAAATAGACTTTTTCAGGTCTGGTTTTTCAACTCACAATGGTCATGGCCTTTCACTCTGCTAATTTTTACCTAGTCCTATTTTTTCATGACCCCTCGAATTTTGCTAGTCAGGATGTACAATCACTACTGCTGAAATGAAGTTTCCATAAAAAAAGGAAATATACTTGTCATATTTTGTTTACTAGAATTCCTTTACGCAGCTATCAAAATGCCAAAAGGTTTCATTTCTATATATTGAGCTAATTAAAAGAAAGCTCCTTATATATCTCCCTATCTTCCCAATGACTAATGCTCTACTATACATATACAGTCTTTACACTTGCAAGATTCTTTTCCAAACACAAAATTTTGTTTGTGTGAACAAAAAAATTGTTCTTGTGAAGGTTTTTTCCTCGCAAAGTGAATAAAAAATCTTGTGTGCGAAGGATACAATTGGTTGTACAAAAATGGCTGTACAAATACATTCTTTGCTTCCCGGTAGTATTCTACTGGTTTTATGGTAGCATCTGTGTGTTGACTTTTTCATGCCCTAAACTCATGCCATTGCTATACTCCGCAAATGGGTCCATGTGGTATTCTTGGAAATCTAGAAAACTCACCTTGATTTATTGGCAGGTCGTTGAAGCATTTGACCTTGCGCGGGCTACCATGGCAAAAGTCCATCAAAACTTGACTTGGGCAGTAGCATATAATTTGGTCACAATTCCCATAGCGGCTGGAGCACTACTACCCAAGTTTGATTTTGCCATGACACCATCTCTATCAGGCAAAACACTATTCTTTCTTTGAGTTACTAGTCATATAATATTCGTTAAATCCGGTATAGGGATGGGTATCTCGGGTTCGGTTTGTTTGGTTCTGTTTGAAAGGGGTTAGGGGAATGATTACCAAATTTTGGTTTGAATTTGTTATTTTTAGAAAATACTTTATTGATTTTTTAAAATCGGTTTTATTTGATTTTTGCTTGGTTCAAACGGTTTGGGAAAAAATATTACCAAATCAAAACCGAATTGCATATGGTTTGGTTTCGGATTGGTTTGGTTCAGTTCGGCCAAAATGCTCACCCTTATTAAAGATTGTTTAACAATGACAGGTGAATCATGGTGATGTTAGGAAACCTCATTGATATATACAGAGTTATTGGTTTTATTGGATGTTAACCGGCTATATCCTATGTTGAATAAAAGATATTGAATTATGGGTTTATTGGATTTTCCCAGGATAAGAGTAATTACTATCATGATTGGGAAATACGACCATATTGATTTGCTCATGTTTCGGTGGCATATTACCCATAATTTCGAATTTTACATTGTTTTTACTCATATTTCAGGAAATTTCTCATTACAAACTCTTGATTCTCATTGAATTTATTTATGTATTTTTTAAATTATACTCTGTATGTTAATAGGTGGATTGATGGCCTTGAGCTCAATAGTTGTTGTCACCAACTCCTTACTCCTGCAACTCCATGGTTCTCAAAAGGGAAAGCAACGATACTTTCAATGATAACATGTGCACTAGCTCAGAGCCCGATTACGCCTTCCACGAAGACCTAATAATAATGCTTTAGATGAATTGAGTTGTGGCAGCCCTATAATGAGGTTGGCATCCATAGACTTTATCTATTGCCTCTACGGCTCTACCTGTCTTTAATCCTGTAGCAACGATACGCATTTAACAGACGTGATTCCTGGTTTTGTTATTATGAACGAATAAAGTCGCATGTAATGATGAACCTAAAGTAGTAAGTAGGACTGATACCGGAAAGTGGAAACAAGTATTTATTTATATGTATTTATAAATACAAAAATGATCTTTGTACCCACTCTTATACCTAGGAGTGGGCATGGGTCGGGACGGTTCGGGATTAGGGTTATCCCGGTCCCGTCCCAATTAATAATAATGGGACGGGACGGTACGGGACAAGCCTTTGTCCTAGTCTTGTCCCATTTAAATCGGGACCGGGATGATTCGGAATAGTTCGGGACGGTTCGGGACGTCCCAAACTAACAAAAAATAATCATTTGTAACTAATATATATTAGCATTTCTAAAATATCATGCACCAAAATATTAACATTTTAAAAGTTAATTGATGTTCATCACAAGCTAAAAGCTACTATGTATTAGATTTTAGTTAGGTTTAGCAAATTTTGAAATTTAAATTTAAAACAAAGCAAAAATGAATTAGTTTATTCAAAATCATGTGTTCTAGTTGTAAGATAGTCATGTGTTGATATATAAAGTGAGGTAAAAACCTATGTTAATACATATTTATGTTAGGTATTATTTTTAATTTAAAAATTGGGTTTGAAAAACTAAAAACATGTTATCATTTATTTTTTGAGTTGACAGTACAAACTAGTCACATGCTACAAAATCTATATAGTTATTACAAACGGGACAACGGGACGGTTCGGGATAACCTTTCAATGTCCCGGTCCCGTCCCGTTTTAAACCGGTACGGGACCGGTGCGGGACAAAATCAATGAGACCCAAACGGAACGGGACAACACCGGTACGGTTTCGGGATATACCGGAATGGGACAACGGGACCGGGATTCTTGCCCGCCCCTACTTATACCCACTTTTGTACCCATCTATGTTTGTGAAGTGTTTTTTTTTTGTCTGTGAACCCTGACTCACAGACAATATTTTGCACAAACAAAATATTGTCCATGAACCGGGTTCACAGACAAAAAAACTTCCACAAACATGGTGGGTATAAGGTGGGTATAAGGTGAGTATAAGAGTGAGTACATCAAGCATTGTTGAAATAAATATAAAAGATTACTCCGTATAAAGACACTTCCTTGTGGTCGGCCTTTTGGACAAAGGTCACAAGTTTGAATCTCATCCCAATTCAAGGAGGTTGGTCTTATCAGAATAGATACTATCATAGGTTAGAAAGATTTGCCAAAAAAAGATTATAAAGACTTGTTTGGAAATATATATTTTGCAATTAGAATTAAACGCAAACTATTCTTGTAAATTTAAAACTGCATTCTAGAAATGGTTACATATTTATGTCTAATAAAAGTTGTTTATAAAAATATAATGTCTTAAGTGTGGCTATTATAGTAATAACGGTAATTCTAGTCATTTATGTTCATTTTTCACATTTAAGTGACCATGATACGAGTAATATACTATAGTAACTTACTCACATTTTTAAAAAGAAATTTTATTTTAGTACTCTCTTAATATTTCAAAGTTTGCTACATTAGCTTTGACACATAATGAGGATAGTAGATGTAATAAATAGAGTAGACAAAGTATGAGAGAAGATCTAAAAGTATGAAAGAAAAGATAAAAGGTAAAAAATAAGTAAACGTAGTTGAGTATTTCTAAAAGAAAATTTTATCAAAAAAATGAGGATGTTTTTTACGTTAGGCCTTTCATCTAATTTAGTACTAAAATAATGAGGATGTTTTTTACGATGAGTCTGATCTATCGGAATGACTTAAAATGGGACATTTTTTGGCAAAATACCCTCATAAAATGTGAAGTATCAACTTCACTAAAAACACTTGGACTATACCTTCTTCCATCTACATTTATATTTAATATATTCATATATACTACGTATATTTGTGTGTGTATAATTAATATAAGTATAAAACTTTTATATATAATTGTACTTGAGAGAATGGAGGTACAGGAAATTAATTAAAATTGAGTGGGTATTTATAGATTTTTGTTTAGACTCCCCTGCCTCCTCCTAAGCTAGTCATTTGGAGCCGTTGGAGGAGAGCCTCCAACGGTGAGCAACCCCCCCCCCCCCCCCCAACTTATGGGATCAGATTGGGCCCCAGACCGGCCGGTCTTGATCCAAAAAATCACACTTGGGGATTGGCTGAACCATGATCAGGATCGAAAAATCAGTCTTGAGCCGGTCCTCGACACTAAGCACCTGTTCCTGTCCCATTTGGGTTGGCGGACCAGTCGATGCACAGTGGTAAGCGACAGGATTTCACCAACCATGACATTGGGTGATGACCGTATGAACTCTTCGATTGCAAACTGGACATGCCAACATTTGAAAGTTTTCTTCTAATTATTTATTGTGACCCGCCGAGAGGGGAGATAAGGTGGTCGGTCTTAGAGCATATCTACATCCATGTTACTTTTTTTAATGATAAAACATGCAAGATAAAATCCAGACATTTATTGCATATCCGATCGTAATCTCTAGGAATAGATATAGAGTCAGATACTCATACAAAGCAACTTGACTCGTTAAACACAAAACGGACAATATTAAGTCTAAAACGATCAAAATTGAAAATTGTCTATCAAAGATTCTTTAAAAAACAAACTACTCCAACCATACCTACTCGAATTAAAATAAAACCAAGTACTACTAGAGGAAAAACAACAACAATATTATAACTATCTATAAATTGCTTCACGGGACGGAGGTGGTTCCGGAGGAGGACGAACGCGTTAAACCCCACCAGAAAAATCACACCCTAGAGAACCCTAAGAACTGATTGCCATTTGCCCGCTCTTCAAAGACCTTTCCTTTTGAGACTCTCTCTCGAACCACGGAACCCTAAATACGTAGTTCATGTTACTTTAAAAAACTAATTTTTTATGATGCATAGACTTTCTCAAAATAATCTCACACCTTCTACATTACATTATTCATGATCTCAAAATAATCATATCTCTTGTGTGTCATGCACTAACTAATTGACTCTAGTTTCACAATAATCTTGAAATAATCTAAATTCAATTTCAATCTCATACTATTTTTTCAAATAATCTACCTCACTCAATCATGGTCCGAGAAATAATCTATCACATCATCAACTTAATGTAATGGAAGGTGATGCCGTTAGGTCAGACTAGAAGAGATCAGCTCACATTTTGTTAAAGGGGAATAATGACATATTGACATTCGTAATATTTAAAAAAAAATGTTTGTAAGCAATGTTTGAAACTTTTTTGTGTGGATATTTTGACAAATGGAGAATTTTAAGGGTATTAAATATGAATATGTTTCATATCTTAAGTTTGAGAATTTCGTGGCACTACATTTTCTTCCCACTTGACCTCATGTATGTCGTAACGTCGGATTGCTATGTTAGCACTCCCACATTTCTGAGTTAAAAGGTTAAATAAAAAATTACCTAATTAGACCAACCTAGATGGAATTTCTAATTTTACCCCAACTTTCTACTCTTAGCTCGTTCCCTGTTTTCCTTCCTGTCGCAAAATGGCTAGTACATCATAGATAATTAATAAGATGCCATAAGATGCATGTGAACCATTTTTTTTATATTTTGTAAAAGACAATCGTGTGCTAGTTTCCCTCCTGCTTAAAAGACAATCGTATATTCGTATGCTAGTTTCACTATGGAAATGAAGAAAACACGAAGATAGTGCAGACACATTCTTTAAATACTACGGTTGCCCAATTCTGTGAAGTGTTTGATTTAAGGTGCAAGTACTCATGTACTATAAATAGACGAGAACGTATGTTGCATGGAAACACGAAAGTCACCAGAAAACGGGAAACTAGAAACGTCAACTTTTGCAAAAAAAAGGCTTGTTTGGAGAGTTTCCAAAATGTTTCCATAGAGTTTCTGAAACGGTAACGTACTCTTTTCCGAGAGGCACTGGCGGAACCAGAGAATAATTTGAGGGGGTGCTCTTATATATGGAGTATATATAAATTTTTTTACGAAACACTTTTTTATTAGAATAAAGGAAAAACGAATGAAAAGTGATCATTTTATATATCGAGCGCAGTTACAATAAAAAAGAGTTGTTCATGTGAATTGTGCGAATGAGAGCACTTTTTATTCATTCTGGTGCACTGATAGATATTTTGTTTGTACTTTTTTGCGATGAAAGAAACTTTGATTTGTTTAGTAGATTGTGACTGCGTTTCTGATAAAATGTAGTGCATTATTGTTTGATTTTGAGCCATTAGATATTAAGTTTGATCCACGAGATGTGTATATGTGTATATTACGTGTTTCAAATAAAAAAGAATTATTAGCTTATTTTATCCCAAACTATCATCAAATTCACAAATTTATCCTATTCTTTTATTTTTATCAAACAAAGGCTCAAATTTCATCTTTTTCAAGAATTATGCTTTTCTTTTTTCTTTTTACAAAATTACACATTTTTATCAATACCAATTAGATACAAGCAATACAAATTTGTAAACTTGAAAGTTGAAACTATAAACAAGTAAAAAATATATAAAATATGAATGTGATTTTCTTCTTAATTTTCACTAATTCATCAATTGAAAGTGTAATTGTGAGAAAAGTTGAAGTTTGAGTCTTTTTTTAATACATGTGAAAGTATGGGATAGATTTGTGAATTTGATGATAGTTGAAGATATATTTAACTAATAATCCAATAAAAAATGCTATTATGTTAAGGAAAAAGTAAATAGGTATGTTAAGTTAAAGGATGTTGAGAACTATTCTTGATAATTTACACATTAAATGATGTATGTCATTATTTGAAAAGGAAAGGAATGATTAAAAATTCATTGATTTATTTTCTTATTTTGAAATGATTAACAATTATGTTACTCCGTATAAATTTAATTTTGGGACCATTGAACCAAAAAAAGAAAACTTGTACTCCCTCCGTCCCAATTTGTTTTGCAAAGTCAACAATTTTTGGTCAACCAATAATAAAAGTCAACTCTTCGTATGAATAATTAATTCAATTTTTAATAATTAAAATTTAAAGGTAAGATTTATATGAATACATGTATTATAATTTAAAGTAATAATTCAATTTTTACTTTAAATTTAAAGTAAAATTTAAAGTAAGATTTATAATTAATTCTTTTTGGGACGGAGGTAATATATGAATACGGGAAGAAAGAAAAAATGACAAATAATTTGTATAATAAGAATGTAAAATAAAAGATAAAAAAATCTAAAGTAAGATTTATCCAATGTCATATCCTAGATTCATTCAATTTAAGAAAATTAATATAAAGTTATGTGTCCAAAAGTGTGACACTTTTACGGCCTATGTCAAAGCTAAATGTGAGTAATGGAGAAGCATACATAAAATGAGGTAATGAAGAAGTATTTTAAAAAATAAAACAGTCGTGGAAATTGAACCCACGACATCTCATATGCTAGCATTCCTAAATCAGAGACACATCCAAAGAAACCATCAGCACCATTGCTCCTATTTCGCCGTAGAAGCTATGATATATACATATTTTATTGGCCGGGGCTGAGATATATACATACATATATACGAAGTATATACACTACCGCCGCCAGCGAACGGGGGGCGGCGGCACCGGCTCGCCCCCCTAGTTCCACCACTGCCGGCGAGAGGTTTCGTGCTAGATAGACCAGAAATATACAAACTTCAATTGCAAAGAGAAGATGCACTGAAAAGTAAAAACAATGGAAATGAAGAAAACACGAAGATAGATGCAGACGCATTCTCTAAATACTATGATTGCCCAATTCTCTCAAATAGCCAAGAACATCTTCCATCCTGGGCCTGTTCTTTAGTTCCATATCCAAGCAGGAAATTGTGAACTCTGTGATCATCTTTGCCAGAACTAGGGAGGGGCATGAGGGGGCAAGCGCCCACGTTTCGGGCAATTTTTTTTTAGTACTACTACTTAGAATATATTTAATGCCCCTCCGTTTTTCAAAAATAAATATCAATTAAGAATAATTTTAGATTAAGTGTTAAAATAAAAGGCAAAGTCTTTCAGAATACATGTGTGTCTCTAGTAGTAATAATACAAGTAATGCATGCAGCATACCACACTCATTTGAATGCAAGTGTGGATTATTTTAGACATTTAATGACACACATGTTGGCTTTTCGTGGTTATAGTGAGCTAGAAAGTGTTGAATTTGATGAATACGTTGTCACATTTCTTGTAACAAAAAAGATCAAAACATTCTCAAGATTATGTTGGATTCCCTCCTTAGTCAAGAAATTCATGAGAATTTTAGAATTTTTAGAGATCGATTTCCAAGAGATTCTATATATATGTGTGTGGAGAAGTATTGAATGTTCTAGAACAATAATGTGGAGTTTTCCGGAGTAGTGTTGAACTCGTTAAAATCATGTGGAAGTGCGTAGAAGCCTTTAGAACATTTTGAAGAATTGTGGGATTTTCGAAATCCTTCCAGAAGATAAGAGAAGTTTGTGGATGCTTTTTGGAAAAATCTAGATGTGTGATGGTGTATAAAAAATTCTAGAGAAATTTTGATGAGATTAGTATAAAGAAGCTTCCCATTTATATGAGAACTTTGATGAGAGCTCTTGAGTGAGTGAAAGTGAGTCTCCTTGAAAGAGGAGAGTGAGAGCCTTCTTGTGAAAGAAGAAGGCTCAAAGATATCGTTTTATGAAGTGTATGTGATCAAGTGAGGTAGAGTGAAGTAGACTCGTATTCAAAAAGTGAGTGAAGATAATACAAAGTGATATTATCAGATTGAGTCTTTGTATTGTGATTGTGTGGATACATAAGTGTACAAGAGTCTATGAGATCATGATCCTAGAAAAGGCTGGGGTTGTGTTTTTCCATCATAAATATACAACATTTTGAACAAATTAAAACTCGTATGATTGATCGACCGAGATTATAGATATGAGTCAAGCGGTTTGTAATGAACTAATTTGTGTTAATGTATTACGTTTTTATTGTTTTTATTAAATTTTGAGTGAATACACAAAATTCATAGCCTTTAGTACGCCCCTCCTTCGAAAAAATTCTGGCTCCGCCAATGATGTTTGCAGTGTCATAATTGACCTCTTTGAATGACTCATGAACCAACCCCTTTTTGCCATTTGCAGCCATAACTTGAGGGTCCCTTTTTACATGGTCTGGCCTCATTTCAAAACCATATTTCTTTTTTGCTATCAGCTCCACTACTAGAATCCCGAATACAAAAACATCAGATTTCATCATTCTTACACCTCCAAATACAACTTCATAAGCCTCTCTATGATAAGCTTTACTCACTGGAAGTTTAGAATCTTCATCTATGTCACGAGAAACACAGCCAAATCCAAGCACCTTTATATTCATTTCCTTTATAATACATGAACCTTCAACTGAGCCAACTGCAATCCTCCTTCGATGCAACCATGCCAAGAGATCTGCAAGTTGAGATGCCACCCTCTTCCGATTATGCCATCCAAACTCATCATCCAGAAGCATGTCAGAACATTAATAGCTGCTAGCCTTTTTTCATAGCAGAACATTAATAACTTTGCCAAATTTGGATGTTTGTTTACTTCATTGATAACGCAAAGCCAAATAATATAGTATGTAATGGATAAATACTATATTTTGAAATGATAGTCAATTGCATATTAATTATGATACCACTATTACATACGTAGTATTGTCATTTGTTTCTTTGTGTCGTATCATATGTATTGGAATTTGTTGCATTGTGTTACATTTTTTTTGCATATTGTTACTTTTTGTTGCACCGTGTTTCTTATCATTGTCTATTGTTTATTTAGCTTTTTGTTGTTTATTTAATTTAGATTTCTATTTATATTTCTACATCCTTAAAATAGAAATATATATATAGAGAGACAATACGAATTGCACATACACAAAAATGTTAAATATCAATTAATGAATATGAACAAGAACAACAACAAGAAGAAACATGAAGAAACAGTAAAAAACAAGAATTTCATTCATCAACAAAAATAAAGACAAAGAAATTAAACAATTGGAAACAAAAACTAATATCAAAATGACAATAACAATAATAATTATTCAATTTTGTAACCTTTTGAAATGCATTTTGATCAACAAAAAAAAAACCTTTTGAAAAGCATCTTGTCACAAAATTCATATTTTTTAGTTATTCAATTTTCAGGTTTATTTTCTTCCACTTTAGATGTTTTATAATTTAATTCATTTCCGGTTCTTTAAGAATTTATGTTCTGTTTTTATTTTATGAATTTATATTTTTTTTTTATTTTTACAAATCTAAACATTTATTTTAATTTCTTACGCTTTTGTTTTTGTTTTTATGTTTTCCAGTTCTTAAAAGTTTACTCTTTTCATAAAAATCTTGAAATGCAATTTCATACTTTTTATAGTCTTAAAACAATTATTTTATTTTATAGGGAAAAGGGGCAAATAAGCCCTCGAACTTACTGAAAAAGTGCGAATAAGCCCTTTTATAGGATGATTTGTCCGGCCGTTGCCATTTGAGGCGGTTCCCAGTGGAATATTTTGATGAATTTTTTTTAGCATCTTCTTCATTAAGTCTAGTTTACCCATACCAAATTTCAGCTAAAAGTTCAACTGGAAAGGCAGTCAAATAAATGTTTGAAGATAACTGAGCAGTTAAACAGTGCATTATAATTCAGAAAAACATTTGGTTGCCTTCCCGGTTAAATTTTTAGCTAAAATTTGGTATGGGTAAACTATACTTGGTGAAGAAGATGCTCAAAAAAATTCATAAAAAAACTCTACCTGGAACCGCCCCAAATGGCGACGACCGGACAGAGCTTCCTATATAAGGGCTTATTTGCACTTTTTCGGTTAGTTCGAGGGCTTATTTGCACCTTTTCCCTATTTTATATTACATATTTTGTCTATAATTTTTAGGTGTTTAGGTTTTTTAATATTTAATCTCTTTTGAGCTTACATTGATTTTCTTATATTTAATTTTTGTGAATTACATTTTTTTTCAAATAAACTTTTTTAAAAATAGAAACACAATTTATTGAATAAGGATTACATATTATATTTATATTCTACTTTATATAATTAATTTGAATTTTCGATTTTTTTAAATTATATATTTATTTGGATTTCATAGATTTTTTTTGCATGTATTCCAATTTTAAAAAAGTAATCTTTCACAAATTTTCTAAATACTTTTCATATTTTTAATAGTTTCAGAATATTGTTATATTATTTTACATTTCTTAGCTGTTTTTAAAATTTAACTTATGGATTCAATTCACATTTTTATTACAACTTTTTTGAAATTTTTACTTTGAAATTTTCTTTAGTTTCTTACTTAATTTTGTTTTTAAGACTGTTATTTTCTTTGCAATTATTTATATTCTTTTGACATTTTAAAAAATATATTTACATTTTATTCTGATTTACATGGAGTAGACATACAGAGTTCATCAATTGCGGAGCAAAGATATGGAATTTTATGAGGTCAACATAGCTGCTTCTGAACTTGTGATGCAGTACATACGCTGATACGGGTGTTTGGAATTAATTATACTTCTTCTTTTTCTTTAAAGAAACAGAAATAGAATCAGAATTGTTTTTCAGAAGTTGGTCTCTCTCAACTTATAAAAAAAACCGTTTCTATGACTATTTTGGAGTACTCAAAAGTATTTTTGCACTTTCAACCAAAAATTCCAATATCTGTTTCTGCTCCCTATAGGTGCAGGAGCAGAAACAGTTTTGAGAAGCATGGTCTATTTGTGAAAGAAAAAATTAAGTAGTCTAGTTTTGAAACAAAAAAAATTAGATACCGAAAAAAGTGATGTTATTTTCACTTTTAAATATATTTGTGAAAAATTTCCTTTATTCTTTGTGGTACCAACGATTTATTGGGCTTGTTTGGCAATCAGGGGTTAGCGGATTCTAAACAACGGATTAGCAGCGGGTTTGACGAGTTCCAGAAAGATGTTTGATAATTTAGCTGTTTGTTTTCAGCGGTTAATAGACAAAAAAAGACAAAAAAAAAACATTCGTACATTTTGTTGTGTTTTTTGTGTCTACCTCGAATCGGGTCAAAAGTCTGGAAAAACTTTATCAAAGTTAAACCAATTAAAGTTAATTGGGGTTTGGGGTTTGATTTGAGTTAGTTTGGTTAAATCATTCCCACGTAAAAAATACAGTTAAAAATCATTATAAATACAAAAGAAAAGAATGGAAAAATCATGATATGCAGAATGGAAAAGGATGTCCAGCATGTTCTGTCACTTCTGTGACTATCGAAAACACAAAATTTTCAAATCATGGCATAAAATGCAAACCTACAAAGGTCTGCGTATCAGTTTAAAAAATGAAAACAAATTTGAAAAGTATTTTTCTGATATCAACGAAGTATTAGCGAAGGTTTCCAAGACCCGAAGGCCTGCTGATGTTTTTCTTGAAAAGCAAAGGTGTGCTGCGGAACAGGGAGGAAGTGTATACCATACAATAGGCTGTACGGCTGGGTACCGTACAGTCGGTGGCATTTTTGTAATTTTGATGAAGTTCATGTTTTACTCGTAAATGAGCATCGAGTCTGTTCTTCTGAGTATTGGGAGCCTAACAATGAGCACCCGTTATCCCTATTTCATATCTTCTAATTCAGTTTCTTTTTATTAATTTCCGTTTATAAAAAATTCTTAAATGGTGTTTATAATTAATTTCAATATGTCAATCTATTGTAGTATGATATGTTTGATATGTGCATCATTTTAAAATGAGCATAAACCAGTACCAAATGAGCATACATAATTTACAAAATGAGTATAAAAAAATTCAAAACTCATTTGTGTATGCTCATTGATTTTCGGCGTTGTATTTGATATGTGCATCATTTTAAAATGAGCATAAAGCAGTACCAAATGACCATACATAATTTACAAAATGAGTATCAAAAAATTCAAAAGCTCATTTGTGTATGCTCATTAATTTTGGGAGTTATATTTGATATGTACATCATTGATATGTTTAGCATGTGCAACCTTTTAAAATGAGCATAAAACTGTACCAAATGAGCATACATAACTTACAAAATGAGTATCAAACTATTAAAAAACTCATTTGTGTGCTCATTCATTTTGGGTGTGGTAATCATTTGAGTTTAACATAACACTCATTTTGAAATATGCATGAATATGACATTTTAAAATGAGTATTGCACTAATATCAAATGAGTATACATTAATTACGAAATGAGCATTCAAAAAACTCATTTGAAATGTCTATTATGCTCATATTTTCATTTGTTATGCTCATATCATAAGTGACCGAACTCCTTCGTCTAACTTGGGTAAGAAAAAGAGAAAAAGGAAGAGTCCAGAGCAAGAAAGAGGGAGAAGAAACAACTAGGGCTATACACCAAGAGACCCGCCACAGGAGCCGCTGCCCAAGCCAGAGTTTTAGGCGTTGCGCTCGTGCAGGAGGGTTGTGGCTGTCGAGAATTGTCAACGGTGCAGGCGGCGAGCGAAGGATGACGATCTGCGAACTGCGATGGAAGCCTGCGAACAGCGATGGAAGCCCTGCGAACTGCGATAGAAGCCTGTGATTTCCGATGAAACCCTGCGATTTGCGAAATAAAAGGCCGGTTGTACCGTGCGCACAGTACAACCGGCTGTACATGTAATTTACGAGACATGGAAGAGGCCTACGCACGGGAATCATTTGATTATGGGAAATTACCCTAAATAGGACTAAAAGCATTTGTATATTTCAAAATAAGACTATCATGTTTTTATTCTCAAAATAGGACTAATTACTGTCATGTTTTGGCAGTACCAGACTTTAAAGATGGCAGTATTTTCCAAACTTGACAGTAGTTACTCCTATTTTGAGAATAAAAACATGGCAGTCCTGTTTTGGAATTTTCAAACTTATTTACTCTTATTTCAGGAATTTTCCCTTTAATTATCCACCATCGCTAAACCTAAGCGCTTCTAATTCCAGCGTTTAAGTTTTTGACGTTTGGGGCCAACACGTCATATTAAAAAGTCATTTGCCAAACACTTAAAAATAGCGTTTTGATTGATTAAAAACTGAAATCGGTCAAATCCGTCAAATTTTTTACTGAAACGTCATTTACTACCGGCGTTTTGATCGATATAATGACCAAACATGGTCAGTATATGCGACCAGATCTCTAGGTTCCATTAAACTCTCTCATGAATCATGATATCGTTCCACACGGACCTCACTAATCCTTATATTCAGTCAAAATATTTTACTCACACGTCTCTTGAAATTTTACAAAATTTTACTGGTGTGAAAAATAATAAAGTTAAACTTATGTAATTAAAGTTTGAACAAATGGGTTAAAGTAACAAGAATAATATATTACTACCTAATTGATTAAAAGAAAACGTGACAAATTTTTGGAATAATAAAAAAGAAAAGATAAGAATGTTACTCAGTATAATGTTTGGAGGGAGTATATCTTATACTCCCTCCGTCCCTAATAATTTTGGCAAGTTTGATCACATGGGAATTAATAAAGTAAAAACTGTGTGGTTAAAGTTTGTGCAGAGGATAAAGAATTAAATGGAATCACAATATAGAAGATGCAAAAAAGGAGTCAAATAAGTACTTATATAGAAGATTCTGTCCGGAAGTGTCATTTGAGGTGGCTCCC